TATATTTGTGGTCTTTGAGGTAAGAGGAATACGAGCTATGAGGCCCACGACGACCTCATTTACAGCCTGGGGGACCATTCTATATCATGAGCCAAAGGGATTCTTAGCAGAACACGATGATTTTCCTGAGTTAAGGTGGAACTGTGGAGCAGAGAAAAGAACTGGAGACCTCTCATTTAGCTGGAAGTTGTGTGGAAGAGTTACAGCGAGGGAAGACTATGCAAAGAATGATACTGAGCCTCATACTGTTCGCCCTTGCTGAAAGCTAAGCTGCGGTGTATGGCTTGCATAGACGAGGCCGAACTTGTTTGCTCCCTGCACAAGGCCAGCGAGTGAAGGACTGGCTGGTTGTGACCTGGCCAATCTCCTGCACTCAGACCTCACACAAACAGATATTAAAGTATGGACACAACAGCATGCAGAGACACATTTACTTACGTGGCATTAACTGGACACATCACAGGACTTGTCCTAGCAGTCAATGACTACTCTAAGGCCAGCCTAAGGAAGCTTATAACTTGGACATACAGGAGTCTTCCACCATACACCAGCAACACATTCCCAATCCCCGCAGTAGATGCCAGGGCTACATTTAATACTGAATACAAGCTACGCCTCTTTATACACATTTTTCACAGGATAAAGTTTAATTTATAAATTACCAAAGAGTTTAACAACAAAAGCTATTCATAAATAGAATATACTGTAAAAATAGTATAAAGTACAGTCTTCTTTGCTCTTGTGAGAGAGTTAAGGCAGGTGTAAATATTTTAGAGCATGGTTTCATTTCCCTTACCCAGGATTGAGCATGGATATCAAAAACTGTGATAAGTGAAACCGGGAACAAGGGGAGACTACTGAAATCAGATTTACCCACAAGTAAGAGGCCCACCAGCGTCAAGGCCAACACTTTAGAGGAAGATTACAAAGTCCAGGCATGTAGCATGCACGAGGGCTTATATCGAAGAAAAATTGCTGTGTCCAGTTGCCAAAGCATGAAACAAGGGAAAGTCAATTCATAGAAATATAAAAATTGGAAAGATAGGGTGGAGCTAGAAATAATAAGTATGCTAACTGCTCAATAATGAAAAATATGAACACAAAGAGGAGACTGACAGCTATTAAAAATTAAATGGGCCTTAGAAAACAAAGATAACTGATACGAAAAATGCACTACAGGAAATTAAAAGATTACAAGCACAAAATATTAAAACTAAAGATAGAAGACACAGCCATAGAAAGAGTCTAAGTGGAAAAAGACTGAGACAATGAGCAGAACCTCCCTGGCTCTTAAAACCACAGCCTGTACAGGACCAAGCACATTCTACTATGTCTTAAGCAGTGAGGTGGCAGTGAAAATCCCATCTCTAAAACTTCTCCAGTTTCAATGAAAAATAACCCACCTACCTGCAGACTTCAATGACAGGAAGCAAAGGTAAAGCCAGCCTTCTTCAAATGACCTCATAATAAAATTTCTTAAAAACACTGGAAATTAAAAAAAAAAAAGACATGGGAGTGTTGCGTCTCAGTAGAGGCTGAGAAACAGAGGCAAAGACAGGACAAACTGCACCAGAAGTGAGGCAGACCAGACAGCACTAGAAAGACGGCTTCAAAGAATTGACAAGATACAGTTAAAGCTTTTGGTTACCTTAGATTTCATACAAAGCAGAATTCCTTCAAAACGGAAAGCAAAAACTAGTGATTATCTTTTTCACAACACAAAAGCCTAACTAATTCATCACTAGCAGGCCAGGAGGGGGAAGTTCTTTAGGGGAAAGAAAATGAGAGATTTTTCGATCTATGCAAAACAATAAAAAGCTCTGGGAATGAAATCTGTAAAAGAATACAAAAACCTTTTTTTAAATTTTTTTAAAAATTGGTTTGAATAAAACTAAGGTATAGTAGGATTTATAACTTGCAGGAAAGGAGAAAAAATGTATGACAACAATAAGGAGTGGGAGAAGGCAATACAGGTATTGAAAGTTTTGTGTATTTTATATAAGACACTTGATGTTTCATTTGACTATCTTAAAGATATATATTATAAATAAACAAAAGAGAACCATAAAGAAATGTAAGGAAGAGGTTCAAGAAAGAGTTCAGGTGGAATAGCGTTAAAAATCTCTCCAAATGAAGATAGAAAAGAACTGATGTGAAAATGAAAGCAAATGGCAAGATGACATTTAATTTCAAATCAAGCTAGGAAGATAGTTTGGCAGCATAAGCTCCTGCCTGGCAAATGTAAGAATCTCAGCTCGATTCCTGATACCCTGTGCTGTACTGCCCCCGAACCAAGTGTGGTGGTGCACGCCTGTCATCCCAGCCCTGGGGAGCCTGAGACAGGAGAATTACTACCTGTCTAAACTGTGTAGTGAGAACCTCTGTGTGTGTGTGTGTGTGTGTGTGTGTGTGTGTGTGTGTGTGTGTGATTTCACATTAATCAGTAACTAAGGGCTCCAACTGAAAGTCACCACCATGAAGTTCAAAGGATTTGAGATTGGATGTGAGATGATCTGGCTGCGACATTTGTCACCCCATTGATTGCCAGGGTTGATTCGGCTGATCTGGCTGGCCAGGCGGGTGTCCCCTTCTTCCCTCAAGGATCCATGTGCATCCCACCCAAAGCTTTGCGCTCCATCGAAGACGATAACCACTCCCAACAGAAGAGGACTGTTCCTCCATCAGAGGCATATGAGTAGCTGCGCCCTCCTGCTAGAACCTCCAAATGAGCTGTCAAAGGACTTCAGACTGTTCTCTACTTACCAGATAAAATATCTTATAGTTTCATAAACGCTGCAGAGGACAGAGGTGCTACCATGCAAAGAACTTTATTATTCTTGGCTCAGCAAGCAGCATCGTATACAGGATGATATCCGTGTCCTTTGCCTCTCCTCTCCCCTGGGGGTAATACAGACATGCGCCCCGTCCGATCTTGTGCACACAGCAGTTTCAGGGCAGAAGTCAGATTGCCCCCATATTAACAGGCTACTAGTAACCCTACCTAGCTGTGCTCCCGAGTCTCCGTCATTCTGTAAACATATCTACTCTCAAGGGAGTTTTCCCAAGCTTTCTATGACACAAACATCACGGAAGATACTCTCGAGCAATAAAAAGTAAAACTTTTTCTGTTTACAAACAATACAGAAGCAAGAAGACATGGGAAAATTAAAATTACAGATTTTCAGATGTAAATGATCTAAAACTAAGAAAGTCAAAGGACAAATCAGGAAGAAAATTTTGAAATTTGGTCAAACTGATGGAAATGTTAAGGCCACCTTGGTCATTAACACTACACCCAAGATAGCTGCCTTAACTGCATTCTATACTTCAATAAAAAACGAACAAAAATAAATATAATCTAATTTGTAAAACTTGAAAATATCAGGCTTGACAATAATGGGTGATAAATTCCCATCTATATCTTATAGGAAAGAAAAAACCTAGTTGGGAGTTCAGCAACTTCAAACCACTAAAAAAGAATAAAACTTTGCTTCATGTAATAACATGGAAGAATCTCAAAAATGTCAGACCATATTAAAACTTACACATTGCATATTCCATTTATTTGATAGGGGTTAAAGGTATGGTGATATTTGATTGGTTACCTTGCTCAGTTATAGAATAAAAGACTGGGAATAAATTGGGACCTTTGGGCATGGTGTTTTGTATCTTGATTGGGAATGATTACACACATGTACACACTAAAACCTCGTGAGCTACAGAACAGTGCATGTTTCATGTAAATTACACGCGTATAATACCTGTCAGGATATACATAAAATGTTAACTGGTTTGTGAGATAACTGTCACTTTGCATCCTAGGGTTTTGCAGTGTTTGAAAATTTCCAACAAACAAGAGTACATAACAACGAAAGGCCTGGTGCGGGGGAAGAAATCCTTCACTTCAGTGTTAGCTATGAATTCACTATAAACGAATCTCAGGTTTCTCCTAAATCAGCACGGGCAAGTTAAGCAAATGCCCAGGTGGCCCACGTGCTTATTAAGATCTGAGCAGCACTTCAGGAAAATAGCTCTGAGTAGAGGAAACTAGCATTGTCCCTGGAGCGATAACTGGCTCCCACACGCCAGACGCGGGCCAGTGTCCCCAGCGCCACCGCATCTGAAGACAGGCGCACTCTCCTCCCACCCTCTGCACCCACACCTGCTGAGAGCTACAGAAAAGACAGCAAAGGCTGCTGATCTTAGTTTGCAAGTTTGGCTTTAATGTTTTCTAGGCCAGGGCCCCCTGATCAAAGCAGGAGCAGAAACTCCAGAGTCCGCCGCTCACCTATCAGTGTGCAGGTAGGAGGAGCAGGAAAATCTCTGGCGGAGGTACCAGACCGTGCGCCATTCCCGCATTTGTCAAGCAGGTGCTCAGCCACCTAAGGCCCAGCGCGTTCTCTCGCGGGAGGAGGGGCGGGCGGAGGCGCAGCCTGACTTAGGAAAGGGGCGTGGCTTCCGGGGTGGAGCCAAGCGGAGGAGGGTGTGGCTAGGCGGAGCCCTGAGCCGCGGATTGGACATTGTGTCGGGGGTGGGGCTGGGCGGTGTGGAGGGCGGGACGGAGCGGTGGCGTGAGAGGGTGTTGTCACAAGGGGCGGGGTCGAAAAGCTTCCGAGCGCGGAGGCGAGGGCGGGGCGGAGCGGGCCGCAGGGTGGAGGGCGTGGCCGAGAGGCGTGAGGCGTGGTCGCGGCGTGAGCAGCGGCCGCGGGCTTTGGGGGTGGGGCTGCCGTGACCCGCGACGCGCGACACGGACGGGGACGTGCGCGTGGGCTCGGCTTTGCCGCCGCGGCCGTGGGGTTCGGCCGCGTCGTCCGCATGGGGCTGTGCTTTCCGTGCCCCGCGGAGGCCGCGCCGCCGTCGCCCAGCCCGGTGAGTGGGACGGCGCTCGGCACCTGTCGTCGCAGGGCCGGGCGGGGCGGGCGCAGCGGGGA